TGAACGGAGAAGTGGTGCCTCGATGCGCACCCGGGATCCGAACCCGGGCCACCAGCATCGCAGCGCGCGCACTTAACCACCAAGCCACAGGGCCGGCCCTGGGGTGGGTTTTTAATCCAAGGGATTTAAGAGATAATGCCTGGGAGTTTCACACAGGAGTAGGCTCAATGTGGGTAACCTTTCCCGTTCAATGCTACCAAGTTACAGCTTGACTCATCTCTGCTAAAAACCTTGCCCTCTGAAAGTGTCTTTTGTCTCACACACAAAGGTAACAGATCTGCACTGCGGTGTCTGGGAGGAAGCCATCCCTGCAGTGGCTCAGATGGGAAACCCAGTGGGACCATTTGCTTCCCCCACTCAGGGGAGCGTCACTCTGCCAACCACTACAGAGATTTTGGTCATGGACATATCATGCTGTCCCCAAGATGCACGAGTGCTGAAGTCCAGGGGGCCTCGCCCAATTTAAACTCTGCTTGTAGGAAATTCAAGGCTAAAGATGGTTTATATTATAGCAGTCCCGAGAGGATTCTTCTCTGCCTCTCGCCAAACAGATTGCCTGGAAACAAGTCCAGATTGAAGGTTTCCCACTCTGTTCTTTTCTTGGAAATTTGGCAGGCTCCCAAGGAATTCTTAATCTTGCTGTACTTGCCTGATAACGGAAACTAGATTTTTAATTTAACTTCCCCTCAAAAATTGTAGAAAGTTTCCATGTATTTACAGCAAAGTTTTTCACGGTAGCAATGGGCTGTTAGTTTTCATTAAGTTTTGTCTTATTTTAAAAGAAAGTTAAAAGACCTTGAACCAGAGGAGTAATTCGTTAGAAAAATATAATTTAATAAGTTTCTGCTTACCTAATCCTGTTTTACAGAATAAGACATAAAACAAACCCTCCAAAACTGGACCAAAGCTGGACTTCCATCAATTCAATAATATATGTTTTTTAGGAGGATATAGAAACAAAAACTTTCCCTGCTACTAACAAATGCATATTTCTCGCTGAAATCATATCTCCAGGAAACAAGTGCTTCCTGGCTTTCTTTCACAGTGAAAGGTTTTTCATGAGCTGCTATTCAAAGACTACTAGTGATTCTCCACTCTTAGCTGTTTGGGCATATTTGTGCCTCCTGATTAGGAAGGAATTGTAGAAAACCCAACAGAACAGCAAGCATCGCCAAAAGATTAGGAACAGGAGCCAAGGTATCAAATGACCCAGGATTGAAGCCTGTTACCTCCTGACTAGGTGACTTAGACACATTGCTTAATCTCTGAGGCATAGTCTCATCTGAAATACGCACTGAGCGCAGTGCCCAGTACAATGAATGTTGGCTATTATTTGTGTATACTGATTGGGAACATGAGAGCAGCAAAGAGAAGACATTTCTTGTGTGTCTCTGCAGCCAGAGCAGGGGTAGCGAAAGGGGCAGTGGGTTACATCCTGAAGGGGCATTTTCCTACGTACACAGAGCCAAGAACAAAGAACCAAGACAACCCAGTGACTGTGACATTCAAGGAAGCTTACTATTAAGAGCAAAACGGAATGCTGTAAATGCTTTGCCACAAAGATAATGTGGGAATAATTGCCGGTAGATTGAGCATTGTTTGATTCTGCCTTTTTTCTCCATGATGAAAACAATGGTGCATTACAGTAACGGAATACACAAGGGCCAGGCGATGACATTTTCACACAGGTTCTTACCTGTTGGCGAGAGTTGCAAAAGCCACATATGCCTCCAAGTATTCCATTTATTACTTGAATGACACACAAGATGAATTCAATGCCACCAAGTGCCAAAAGGATAGAAAACAGAGTGACATTCCATTCCACGACATGCTTGGGTTCAATGCACTGGGACCATGTGGACCTATTCAGAAGGTATCTGCGGATAAAAAGAGAAACTTCTGATACATGACCACACCTAATGGGGTGTCTCATCAACTACTTTTTTAAAGTGTGGTGTTTTTTCATTCAGAAAAAAAGAAATGAATTAATTCAATGGCCTATATCAAATTCTTCCAATCCAAGTCATTCCACAAAACGAGGAATTTAGCCCAGATCTTGTTGCAATGATAGACACAAAATCCAACAAAGATTATCAAGCAGTCAATGTGAGTTAGACATAGTGCCAGGGCTGGGGTTAGAATAGTGAGCCCAGAGGGGGCTCTCGCCCAGAAAGCTTAGCTTAAGGGAGAGACAATAGGTAACCTCAAGGCAACAAGCTTGCTAATCAGGCAAAGGGAGAGGGAAAGAGCCACAGAGGAGGGACACCTAACCGAGGCCAGGGAGGACACCTGCATAGGTATCTATCCCACAAGTCTGAGCTCCAGGAAGGTAGGAACCAGAGCTATTCATCGTTGTGTATCCAGCCTCTAGACTAGTATCTGGCATTAGTAGGTACTCAATACATTTTAAAGGTAATTGAATGATAAATAACAATCTGAAGCCACTTTGTGAAATGTTAGCAAACCATGGTGAGGTCATATCTGAATAGATGGATAGATAGATAGATAGACAGATAGATAGATAGATATAGATAGATAGATAGATAGATAGATAGATAGAGAGAGAGAGAGAGAGAGATAATCACTTAGTAGATTTTCCAAACACCTGGCTATTCTCACAGTCTGAAAAATTCTCTCTGATTACTCTCTTAGAATTTCAGCCTTTGCTACATCATAGGGTATTTGAATTCTTAATGAAACAGGGTTCAATCATGTGGGAAAATCTAGGATTGACTTAATGCCACAAAGAGGTCTGGTGTAGTTCTTTCCTTATCACTTCTTCCTGCCACAACAGAACAAAGGGGCTGGGAATTAGAGACCTAACTTTGGAACAGTTCATTGCGCCAATCAGAAATTCAACTCGTTGATTACAAAAAGTTCTGTCCTTCCGGCCCTGTCTTTCTGCACGTCAGTGGAACAAAAATCCATAATTTCAGGACACAATGTAAGGAAATTATTTGGCTCCACTTGGCTATTGAGCCACTAATCACTGGCTTGTGACCATTAGTTATTCCCAATATTTCCCATATGGAAATCCCTGGACAGGGTGAAATGAGGAATGATACAGAAGCGGAAGGTTCTTGTGGAAGCTGGGGTGAATCACGGGAGAGGCACGCAATCAAACAGCTATAAAAAGAGTGGTGATACTCTCGCCCCTCCTTGCATTCCAGCCGCATTAACCGTGACCTTTTTCAGAGGTGGGTTTGTGCAGGTGTTGGTATGTTTGTGCATACATGAATAGCCAATCTGTACTAGTACATTCAGTATGTTCTGAATAAAGATGAATCACCACCCATAACAATTTTGAACACCAAAATTTCAAACTCCTGTAATTTCCCCTCAGAGTGCTGATTTCCCCTCAGAGGCTACCATGGGGCTGTATTCATTGTAAGCAAGTAGATAATATTAACTGCTCACAGTGGCAGTGTTCACAGTGTGTCAGCTTCTGTGACAAACATTTGCGTAGAGTAGCTCATTAATCTTCCTGACAACTGCCACTGGTTTTCTTTTACAGATGAAGTAACTGAGATGCACAGGGCTCAATTCACTTTTTCCTGGTTACTTAGAGAGTAAGTGCAGAGCTGGGATGGAATCAGGGTCCACCTAATTCCATACTTATGATCTTATGACCTCACTACATGCTGCACAATTCATGGGGGACAAACATTCTTGAAAATATAAGGGCAATTCAAATTCATTATTCATATTATTTTCACTCATGAATCTCATTACTAAATCTCCCAAAATTCAAAGAAGGATGTCGCTCATTTATCTTCATGTACATCAGTTTCTATCAGCTATTTCTGTTCTTTTCTCAATAATGGATAAGAAATAAATATCAACATAAAACAACAGAGCCTCTTAGATTATCCTGATGTTAAAGCGGTGAATAAGGCCTGTTTTATACAGCCTGAGACTTTAAATAAAGGGTGAGTTGTATGTGTTGTTGTGTTATATGTGAATATGTGTGTATGGGAGTAGTATGATTTACCCTGGGCTTTAGTTAAATTCATATAGTTTCCATTCACATTATATAAGGACTCTATAATATTTTCTTATAAAATAGTAAAATCAATCAATTGCTCTGGTATAGTGTACACACTATATGAACACAAACTCTACAGCCAGGCTGTCTGGGTTCAAATCCTGACTGTTATGTCCTAGCAATGTGACTTTGGGTAAGTTACTTCCTCTCTCTGTGCCTCGGTTTCCTCATCTATAAATGGGAGCAATAGTGGAAGTCACCTCACAGGGTTACCATGAGGACTGAATCAGTGAATCCATTACAAAGCACTGAGACCTTCTCCAGGTCAGGGACTGGGCGTCTGTCCTCTGACACCATTGCCTAAACCATGCCTGCGTCAGTGCCAATAAACCCGGCTCAGTGGATGGACGAGAGGGTGGGCGATGCCTTTTTAGTTTGCCACTATACCGTGTGGTGGATAAGACCGTGTGGCCTGACAAGGGACAGCTACTTACTCTCCGTCAGTGTTGGCAAAGGTGTAGTTCCAGCTGCCGGCGGCACCACGACACAGTGGTCCTTCCGCTAAGCCCAGGGCTGCCACGATGACGCAGTAGCCAGATCCCGCAAGTCCGATGACAGCGGCCAGTATAGACGAAAGCATCTTGGGAGGGGAGAAGCAGAAGTGAGCCACAGAGTGTCACGGCTGCCTCTCGGGAACCGCTGCCCCCACCCGCGCCGCAGCACCCACCGCGCATCTCTTGCCGCAGTTTTCGTGGCCGCAGCAGCCGCAACAGTCCTCCTCCTCCAGCCCCATGAAGACAAACGCGGGCAGGAAAATCTGGGTAGAAAACAAGCAAGTTCAAGTCATTGCCTTTCCCCAGGTCCATAAGAGTCGGGCTAAGCAGCTTTTGGTAAACATACATTTCTTCCTGACATTGTTGAATGGCTTTGGGTTAGATTGGCCAAGTATCTCATCGACTGTAAAACGATGAGGAGAGAAAAAATTCTCAGCATGCTCTCTGCTTGTTTTCGTGTAATGTGTGAAAGCCTTCTTCAGGATGAGGGTGTAGCAGGGGAGGGGTAAAATAATTACCTGTAACTGTTTATTCCACGAGAGTTCATAGGGTAGTCCCAGAGGCAAACTCTGTCCTGGAACTATTAAACCCTGTCTTTAAAACTGATTTTTTTTCGTTGTAAAACATAGAAGATACCAACAAATCTTTAACAGAATAACTAAAACTCTTTTGTAAATAGGAATGATGAAAGCTCTGCGTAATAATTGTGAACTGCTTCTTCGAAGGTACGATAGTTGTAGCTTTACAATAAAGCCTTTTAAAAAGGTAAGTATGAAATACTTTGAGTTTGAGATCAAAAGAAGCTTAAACAAGTGCAATGTTATATTAAGAACAAATGATTATGCTAACATGATAGTAATGCTTAGATTCAAAACAGATTTACCATATCATAATTAGTGTATCAAGGTTTAAATGTTTTAGTATTCTTTACTTGACAAAGAAAAATGTTTTGTATGATATTAGCAATTCCATAAAACTTCTCTTTAAACTTCTCAATCCCAGCGTTCTAAGGTAGTAAACTCAAGTTTGTCCACATTTTTTCCATGCTGTGGTTGAAGCTAATACTTTCGGCTCCCAGGTTGGCAAGCAAATTACTCTCACTTCAACTAAAAACAAACTTTGGAAAAAACAACACATTCCACTATTAGCTTCAGACACTGATCTGCTGCTGACTGTAGGATTTTTTCCTAGACACCACACCCTAGGATTACACAAGGGAGAAAATTTATAGTTCTTTCTAAATAGCAGTGCACTCACAATTCATTATTTTTTTCTGTTACAGATGCCTGAGAATAAACAGCAGACAATTCAGATCCAAAACTCTGTTGATTCAGACAGAGAACCAGCCACTCTTCCCAACTCCCAGAGCAAATGTTAAATGGCTACCTGCTCCAGGACTAGAAACTCCATAGTCTCTCAAATCTGATTTAGAAGCCAATACCTGTTTTCTAGCTTTGAAGTAAGAGTTTAGCAAAAAAGTAGCTCACTTTTAGTCGAAGGAGGATTTTGTTAAAACAACACCTAATAAAATTAACACACTAGACTGATCTCAACGTGTGTATAACCTGCTTTCAAAAGGAGAATGAACAAAAATAACTGGATTTGGAAATATGCATTATAGAAAACTTTCCGTGAAAACATCTGGTGAACAGGAGAGAATTTTTTAAGGTTGTAATAATTCTGAACGACTTACCATCAAGCCCCCTCCTGCGATGCCAGAAAAGAACCACACGAAGCGGCTGAGGTGGTTCTCAGAGGCATACTTGGTTTCCCCGTTGGGAAAGTAAAGCAGAATATTAGCCACAATGCAGAGGATGGCAAACAGCAGCAGAGAACGCCCGATGCATCGAGCGCATTGGCCGTAGCACATGGCGGCGAGGGGTCTGGGAGGTCTCTTGCCCCTTCACTGCAGCTCAGCGATGCCCCAGATCCGATGAGAGAGTGCCCGTCAGTGGCGAAAGCAAAAGCAATTTTCAGCCCATTGCTGCAACCGCTTAAATACTCTGAGTTCTTAGTCACCGGGAGGATGAGGTCCTTTGCTTTCATTGGTCCTGGTCACAGGCTCCGGTTGGGGTGGGGGAAGTGGGGGGAGTGACCCACCCTTCAAATGAAATCCTTGGGACAGGCGAAACCAGGGGCAGGACGTCAGAAACAGCCTCAGTCATAGGCAAGAGAGAAAATGAGTAATCCTCAACAAGGAATTCACTGTGCAACTCCTTCATGGGTAAAGAGTCGACAGGAAAGTCTAATACTTAACAGTTTCCAGTAACTGTCAAGTGTCCACGGCGTGACTGCCCTGGTTGAGGCTTTGAAAGACGGCGGGCTGTGATCCCGCTCCGTGCAGCTGTTGGACAGCTTCCAGTCTGAGGGCTCTGTGTTCGCTTCCACCTCTGCCCTGATTTCATTCCAGAGGCAAGTCTCCTGAGCTCTGAGCTCGCTTCCTGGTCTGTTAAAGGCCAGGTGTCTGGCCATCACCCGTGGGTTCGAGGAGGCTGTGGGGAGAATGACAGGGCAGCCTTCTCCCCTCTGCCTAGGTCGAGCTCTGCAGGACCAAGCCTACGTCCAGCCTTCCTGGACATCTGCCTCAAAAACAAATCTGGCTCCAAAACAAAGGTGGCGTTGACCCCTTGTGGTCAACACAAGGGGCTCAGGCACCTTTTCATTCCTGAGTATTGCTGTCAGCAAAGCGATGCCAGGGAGGGCCAAGGGAGGCCTCAAGCATGGGAGAAGGATAAAAAGAAGAAGTGGAAAGGAAAAGAGAAAGGAAGAGAAGAGAAAGGGATTTGGCAAGCAGAGGAGGAAACCAGACTGAGAGGACCTGGAATGACAGGGTCCCAAGGCGCCAATCAGGGCACAGGGTGAACGGTGTCTGCCCAGCCAGACCCTGAGATGAGCTGCTGCAGGCTCGCCCCGTAAGGGCAGAGAAAGGATGTGAGACCAACTTTCCCGTCTGGTTATCTTTTGGAAGGAGAGATTGGACTCCGAATAAGTGTAACCCTTGAGTAGCAGGTGGCACTAGCCAGCTGGGTGGGGGGAGGACAGGGTGGCTAGGTGGGGCCAGAACTGGAGGGCCCTGTCACTAGGACACAATAACTAGTACAGAAAAGAGGCCAAGACGGGGAGTGGTCAGCTCAGGAGAGGAAGGTGAGTGGGGCTGGTGAATCCAGAAGCGCAGGCTGAGGCCAGAGTCGGAAGGATTTGGGCCCAAATGAGAGGGCAGACACACAGCAAATTTGAGGAGCAGCTGGGGCTCCAGTGGGAGGAGGACCCAAGAGGCAGTGTGGCCTGAGCGTACTAACGGGTGAGTCATCATCCAGACAGGCCTGAGGAAACAGATGGGTGGGAAACTGAGCTCCGGCAGGGAAGCCTGGGACGGCCCACCTGCTCAGATATAGGGAGGAAGATCTCCCCACGCACGTCACTCCATCACTACCATACATCCAGCAACAGGGCATGTGTGCTCTCTGTCCTGGCTTCAAGTCCTACTGGAGACAGGATTCCACGGTATCAGGGGCTCAGGGGGGCAGTACAGGTGAGTGACGGGCCTTGGTGGAGGCATCCTCACTCTAACCCTCCACTCTGCTGGTCTGTCCCACCTGGGGCCAAAATGGGGGCCTTTGCCTGCAAGTGCTCAATCCCATTTGTCCCTCTCCCCCACCCCTATGGTCCGCAGGGCAGGGAGAAGAGAGTGAGGGACTTGGAAGGAGAGTCTGGAGTGACAGCCTGACGCTGCTGTCTTCCAGCTTCGTGGACCTGGCACGTCGCCTCCGTTCCTGGGACCCTGTTTCCTACTCTCTAATACAAAGGGCCAGACTAGCCCAGTGGTTCTTAAGTTTCTGAGAGTCTTGTAATGATATGGACCCTGTCCCCGGAAAAAGAAATGTGTATATACACAAACCCACACATTTTTTGTTCAATTTCTGGGGGCTCATGGACTCCCTGAAGCCATTAGTGGATCCTCCTCCACATTTCTCCCAGTGTGGACTGTCTGGAGACCACTGACATCACAGATGCAGATTTCTGCTCCCACCCTTGACATAATGAGTAGGAATTTCTGGGGGTGAGGCCTAGTCGCCTGCATTTTTTTATGAACGCTTCAAACGAGTCTTGTGTTCACTGAGGTTTGGGGGTCAACTGCCTGGTGCACAGCCCAGGTAAGTATCATTGGTATTAGACGTACTCTGAGGGCACTCTCACCTCCGATGGCTCTTCTGCTCTGGCCAGACATTCAGTGGGTGCACGAATTGTGGGGGACAACTTGGGATTGGTGTGAGGCACTTTCAGGCTTAAGCTGAAAATTCTCCTGTAAATGGAGTCCCTCCCCCTGCCCACCCTCCGGTCATTCCATATGGCACCCTCTGCTTCTACCCCCCAGCTGGTAACTTAAAGTAGGGTCTTTTCTGGTTTGGGCCGGTATCTTTTCTGGTTTAAGACCAGATATGCTTTTCTGGACAGTTTCTTTAACCTCTTGATCTGGTCCTGCCAGATTTTGCCCAACAGATGGGCCTGGCCTTTCTCCTGGCTTTGAACTTTCAGTTCCCTGTGCAGAGCTGCCATCTCACGGACTCTTTCTGGATTTCATTCCACTCTCCAACCACCACCCCTGGTCCTCACCAACCTCTGCTTCCCCATCGTCTTCCTTGTTCTGAACCTTGTCTTCTCCCAGAGCTTCGAGCTGCAGGATTCTGCTCATAAATCCCTCGAAGCGGCCTCCTCCCAGGACCCGTCAAATGATGCTCTGCCCCCTCTCCCATCACACCACCCTGTTCTGTTATCATCCCAGAATCTATCATCCCTGAAATTATTCTCTGTGTTCACTTGTTTCTTTTCCTGCCGTCTGTCTCCGCTCCCGTCGTCTCTTAGCACAGCACCCTTTCTACCTCGTCTACCCTTGTTCCCCAGCACCTGGAACAATGCCTGGCACCCAGTAGGTGCTCAGAAAATATTTGATGAATAGTTGAACAAATACATACGTGGATCAATGAATTTTTCAGCCTATTCTCAGCAGGCTGAAGCTCCAGGCCCCCCACCCTCAATTCCATCACTCCTCTCTGAGCCCACCATCTCACTGAAAAGCCCTCCTAGCTGTTCACACCATTGCTCCTGGTCCCACCACTGCCTGGCTGTTTGATTTGGGGCAAATTATTCGCCATCGTGCACCTCAGTTCCTATCATTCATTCGTCACCAGTATTTATTGAGCTTCTACAGTGTTTTCTAAGTCCTGAGTCTCCCGCAGTAAACAAACAAAAATCCTTGCCCTTAAGGAGAGTCCATTCTCTCAGAAGGAGAGAGACAAATTAAAAATCATACTAAATAAACAAAACGCATCATGTATTCGATGACAGTGAGCGCAGGAACGGCGAGCAGGTGAAGAGGGAGAGGCCCTACAGCACGGAGCTGTGATGTGTGCAGTGAGTCAGCGTGGGTAAAGCCCGAAGCACCTGGCGTTTAGCAATCCCTCCATAAATGTTACTGATTACTACTTAGTGTTTCCAGCAGCCCACTGTTCCAGGCCAAGTGTCTCCACTCCGTTCATGACTCATTATATCTACCGCTCTGGGATTCCGTCACTCCAATATACATAGGATCACTTTATCACTTTTTGTGACTAATTTTTAGATAATAGAGTTCCCACAGTTACATTACAAGCTCACTTTTATCTCCCTCAGTCCCTCTGGAATCAGCCTGGATCCATGAACACCTTTGGGAAGAGTGGTCTTTCCTTCCCCAGAGACCTGCAGGTCCCTGAGCCCCAGACACCCCGCATGTCAACCCCATGTGTCAACCTCCCATGCTGGATGTGCTGTCCCACTGCCAGAAAGGCCCTGTTCTTCCTTCCCGCCCTACTCCACCCCACCCAGCTTTGTTCCTTTGACTGAACTCATTACTTTTTCCGTGACCTTCTGTCACACCCGTGCCTGCCTCCCAGACCTGCTCATCATTGCCATTTTGTCTTTGAACACACCCCCCATGCCGCCCCAATCAGACCACGATGCACTGATGCGTGTCCTCGTCAGACTCCCCGGCTCCGCTGAGGACCCAGAGAGCAGGCTACCTTTTCTTCTTTGAGAGCACAACAGCTGGTCCAGGGTCAGGTGTTTAGTTGGTTCTCAATGAATATTTGCTAAATTTTATTTAAATGAATAGGGGAGTTGAGTATGTTCCATTCTCAGGTTATTTGCTTTTAAGCAAAGCTAAAACATCTTATGAAAAGTTAGACAAAATTGGCATTTGTTATATTTGAATTTGAAAGATTTCAGTTTATCATTCACATGAGCAGCTGGTGTGTGCTCCTTTGGTTGGCTCTCCTAACCATTTGATGTGCAGAAGGTGGCTTCAAGAATAATTCCGGGGGAAACTCCTTTTGATAGTGTTGAGTGCCATATAAGTTTAGATTTTAATGTTGGAAGAACCCTCAATAGAGTGAATGGTTAAGCTCCCACCCCTTCACAGAATCTTTAGGGCCATTTTATAGTCAAACCCACAGGAGTTAAAAACTCAGCCCAATATCGTCTAGCTGGTGGGCAATGGAAATGAGTTGCCTTTAAGAACTCATGTCAATGATCTATGATTCTATGTGGTTGTGGGATTCTAAGAGGAGGATTTGAACTCAGATCTCCTGCCTTCTGGTTGCTTCCACATATATTTTGCCTTCCTTATTGGGAAAGCCCTAGTTTCTCACTCATTTGAACATGAAAAATGTAATGATTTATACATAGTAACCACACTCATTAGAGCTTTTTTGATCATAAATAACAGAAGCCAGTTCCAGCTACGTTAACCAAAGGGGCATGAACTCCAAATGTAGGGATGCAGATGGGACGATGGGACTCATTGACAAGGGGAATCAAATCTGTAGGAAATCCAGAATGTCCTTCTCGTTCTCCATCTTGCTTCTTTGACTCTTCTATCCATAACTTCGTTCTTCTTAATGCAGACTTGTTTCTGTCTCTTTCACAGTGTGTGCAAAAGAATACGGCTACTGACTGTTCCCAGGTTTACATTTTTCTCTGTTCAAGACACCCATCCCAACCCCAGATTCTGAGGGAAGGGAGCTACATTGGACAAGACTGGGCCTTGTGCCCACACATGTGGGCCCTGAGTCAACACTGCTGCAGCATGTAGATGGCGGAGCAGTCGTTCTCAGGAAAAGGTGAGCGCAGGGCCAGGTGGAGAAGCCAGGAGCTGTCCTGTATGTGAAACCACAATCAGGGCAGACAGCCACTG